AATATCTTATCTCTAATCCACTATCTCTATTATTAATTCACCTCCATGGTATTCCTTCATAGTTCCTTAATACTCCTTCATAATCTTCCATGCTCCTCCTCCATAATGCATAATGACGTCAGGAAAAATTAATAAAAAATGTCTTTCGAAATAATGTTTTTATTAAAATATAATCATCCGTTTAGATTCATAAATTACAAAAAACAAAGAAACAATTTTATTAATATTAATGTTTAGGGATTATTTTATTTTGATTACCAGACCAAGTTGGGTCAGAAATGAGTTTTATACTATTGTCAAAGTTAATAGCTTTATTTATGGACCGTTCTTGTTGAAAATTTAATTATTTGTTTACTACCAATTCTAAAACTTTATTTCAGCATCATAAAATATTTATATGATATAAATTATAATAATAAAATTATTTCACTATCGAACAAAAATATTTGTGACATAAAAACAATGTGTTATTTTTCAAACAGTAATATTTGCATCTGTACAAAAATCAATTACTTTTCAAATAAAAATAAAAAATTTTTTAACTAAAATTGTTTTATTTTTAAATATTGTTTGTTAATGTAAAAAAATACGAATTGTTATATCCAGCCGAACTAATTGTTAAAAAAAAAGAAAATATTTTATTGAAATAATTTACATTTTTTTAAAAACCTTACAAAAAATATTTACACACAAATAGAAACGCCAAATGAATCCATAAAAAAAAATATCAGCCCCATATATTTAGAATTAAATAATTTTTTCGGTTTATTTAATTCAAAAACAAACTGTATACAGAAATAACCAATAAAAATGGTAACGACGAAACTTCTTCAATATAAAATAATATCTTCATAATTCTCGGTTACTTTGAATAATAATATGTGTGTACAAAAAAGGGGGGAAAATGAACCAAAGTTTTACAACACGGTAGTATATTTTTTCGAATATTTTCTTCGACAGTCAAACCAAACTAAAAAATACAACGGCCAAACCCGTTTATTGAATAGCTAATAAGTGTATTGTTCTGTCATAATATGATAATAATATTATTATAATAATATTAAAAGTAATAATTTTAAGACAAATTGTATCTTAAATTGATCTTAAGATAAGTTCGTGCGGGTTAATTCTGGATTTAGTTAGCTGTGAAAACAGAAACACGCATACTCCTTTTATTAATTATTATTGAAATCTTCTGTTTTAGATAAACTTTCCCATCGCCAATTTCCGTTTGGTAACCGATCAAGACGACCTTGCACTCAAACAAAATTATTAATTTTAGGAAAAAAAATATGGATTTATTTAATCTAATCACAAGTATCTTACCGACCAGCACATATTTTATAGCTAAGAAATATACGGGGAAAAAACGTGACAGGTTGATATTATAAAAAGCTGTTTAGCTTATTTTGTTTGACAAACGTGTCCGAGAATACTTTAAATTCGTCATTTTATTTTATTATTGTGAATTCGGTGGGCGAAGATTTCAATTATAATTTCACTCAAGACGGTTTCTTAAATGAAAAGACTATAATATCGATTTTACTGTAAAACTCTCATCCTTATGGGTTTTTTTTTCAAATTAAATTTATAGTACTTACAACATAATATATAGGTTAGGTTTAAATAATATTACTATATCACTTACACAAAACTTGGGCTTGATTTATATTCACTATAGTCCCAGGTACTTCTCAGACAGTCAGACAAACAGACAGATCTTAACGGTAAACCTGTGCGAGCAATTATTTGTTTAACCCGAAATTTAATTAACAACAATAAGTGTATATCCACGTGACAAATCAGCCATCAACTCATATTGTATCCTATTTATTTCCGGCCCAATAGAATGCTAAGAACAGTTGTCCAACGACCTTTACTAAAAAATTCAAATTCAAATATTCTTCTTCCGAAAGCAAGCAAGCAAAAAAAAAATGCATTCTCAATTTACATATAATTATTACCTACTTTACTTGACATGGATATGCCTTATGGGGTCATTCTGAAAATTTGTCCGTCACAAATTTTGTCATTATGGATTGTAGAGGAGTATGGAGGAGTATTAAGGAATTATGGAGGTTAATTTATAGAGATATAGTGGATTAGAGATACTAGATTGCAGGACATATCCATGTACTGATGTATCTACATAAACGACTAATAAAAACAATAACTCATATCTTAAGTAACGTTTATTTAAATAATTATAAAATTAAGAAATTCAACAAGCAGTCGACGTTTGGATTAAAAACTTACTATGAAATAAAAAAAAAAAAAAAAATTGGAAAAAATAAATTTAAGTTGGTAATATTTATTTTGCACAACACTTTTTTTTGTGTAATAACATGTGTTAAGAGATGCACTTTCTAAGTAAATGAGCAGTTTTTAGAGTGCAAGTCTATTTGTTTTAAATGGAACCTGAAGGAGAATTTATCTCAGTTTTAAGAAAGATAAAAAATATTGTCAGATAATTACCATTCAATTTCTTTTTTTTAACAAAAAGTAAAAAAAAAAATACTTATAACTCCCAATATTATCTAAAAGTGCGTTTTTTTCCTTTTATACACAACAAATGCTATTTATATCTTGAACTGTATTTTATAAATTGTGTGTCTATTTATATATATACACTTAACCCGTTGTCCATTTTAAAAGATAATATTACTTTTCTCAACCTTGAATCGAACTCGAATTCAAAAGCATCCTATCGAGTCCTATCTAATTTTCTTTTTTAATTAATTCCAAGACTGGAAGGGATACCGTTTTTTTTTTTTTTTTACTCCGGTTATAATTAAGCCATTTCCGGAATTGCATATTATCGATCGATGAGAATATGGCTGGAAGGCCTCGAGTAATACATATATATATATATATATATTTTTTTTTTTTTTTAATTGTGTTTAATGAAGGGGCGGTGGTGTGTTTGACTCGTTTTTTGGTAAAACGTTTTTGTCATCCTCACCCCCTCCCCCCTCCTGCTCTCGTGAAGGGTAAAATACCTACTACAATAATTTGTTCGGCTTTAAGTAAAATAGAACTCGGAATTCCTTTAAACGTCTCCAAACGTCCGCCTCGTCCCAACCTTAACAACCGGCAAAGGTTTTTATCTGTCGTTTTACTCACGGTAGAATTAGTCTATTCTACAAGCTCATCGGCGTGACGTTAACTCGATTATAACACGGTTTGAACACCGAAAACCGTAAGGTCAGGTATATAATATAATATGAAATTTTTTACCCTCTCTCTCTCTCTCTCTCTGTCCCAGTCTTGCTTATAAACTCCTTCTTATTTCATTTGTACGATTTCCGCCCTGACGATCACAATATTATGGCATGGCCGCAAAACACACACACACACACACACACGTGTACTTGATCTCTTTATCTTTAGGCTTTTGCAGAGTTACAGGAAGAAATAACGTCTCTTGACAAAAGAACCTAATGTAACAGAAGACACTACGCGAAATACACATTTTGTTTTATTTGATTGATGTGTGAAGAGAAACGTTGTTGTTGTTGACACCGTGTCGAAGGTGGTTTTTCTCGACGTCATCATAGTCATGGTTTTCCCCAGTGGAAAAGCCCCAATAATATCGCACGGTTAGGTTTTTATCATTTATCCACCCGTCTATTTTACATACCCGATTATGTTCAACGGTAATTTGAAATTCATTCGGTATGCAATAGTACTGCATAGTAGTTAGTATAAGTAGAGATTACGCTTTATTTAGGCTGTTTCCGCATATAGAATATGTATTTTTAGTTAAATCGAAAAAATACATATTTTTACAAATATAACGTTCAAATCGCCATTGGTAAAAATGCATTAGTTACACAACCTCGGTATTGTATAAGGGAACCTTTCGTCGAGTGATGGAAAAGGGCCGTTTTGCATAGTATTTCAGATAAGTAATCCGTTTTGCATTACACGGGTACTTGTTTGAAATACAATGATAATAATACTGTGCAAAAGGTTTAGTAGAGTAGAGTAGAGTTTTCAGAAGTACATTCTGCATATAATTATACTTATATATAGGTAGGTAAGTGTAATTTATATATTCGTTCAATCGACAGACCAGTTGCCGCAATAATAATAATAATGTAAATTTATTACGGAAATGCAGTATATTGTTAATTATAACAATGCCAATCGATCGATGGTGCATACGACGGTACTTGTCTGGAAAAGGTTAATGAACATTTCAAAAGCGTATGCTTATTATTTGGTAAGACATTCATTAGTAAAACACAAATAATTATTTTACAAACTTCTCGATACACAGTAGAAAATGTATGACTATTAAATATATTTTGTATTAAGTATTACAATTTCAATTAAAATTCTTAAAGTAATGGGATTCTCTAAAAAAAATGTACATTCTGAAAATTTGTCCGTCACGTTTTGTGACACAGTGCTGACGTCATTATGCATTATGGAAGGATTATGGAGGAGTATTAAGGAATTATGGATGAGTATGGAGAAGGATTATGGAGGTTAAATAATGGAGATGGTAGATTAGAGATAAGATATTAGGGATACTAGATTGCAGGACATATTCATGTATAAATGTATCTGCATGAAGTGTAGATAATCGTTATTTGTTGTACTCTGGTCTGAACATTAAGCCGACGGTTCATCAAGTGTATGTCTAAAAGTTTTTTTTTCAACAAAATTCAACAGCTTTTTTATCGAGGAAAACACTGATAACACGAATTTAACCACATGTATTTCTTGTATAGTGTTGTGTATTGTTTTTGAATACTTTAACAGGTTCGCGTGGAAGAGTCTTTATTAAGTGAATTTATCCTATTTAATTTTAACAATTCCATAAGCATCATTACTTTTCTATGCTAATATCCATTGCTGTTGATGCTGAAACAATAAAAAAACCCTAAGCCCAGCGACTCATCTGGGGGGTCCACTGTGCTGGATATTTTGTATTAACTGTTATTATATAAAATATTATGTTGTTATAACATTTTGTATTTTTTATTTTACAGGCCAACAACCAAAAAGGGCACAGTAAACGGTAAGATTTTTCATGCAGTTATCATTATAGTCCTTACAAAAACAAAATTCACCAAAAAGTTTGTGTTTGGTTTCAAATAACATTATTTCAGACCGAAATTAAAATGCTTTTTCTCGTTATAACAAGTACCCAAATTTTGGTTTAAAATGATGTCATTGAATATGAATAATAATAATTATGGTTGAAAAACAAACGAATAAAAATTAATTAATACAAACTTAATTACACGAATTAAAAAAATATATACATATGTATTATATTTGTAAGAAATATTTTTTAAATTGTTATTTAGTTATAATTTTTTTCACGTTATTGAAAAAACAACATAACTCGGTTAGTTCTCAAAGCCATTTAATTATAAACCGAAAACCATAATGCTTTGTTTTTTAATTATTTTTAAATTGGTTACGGTTTTAACATTTCCAATAATGTTTATTTTAAAAAACAAGTCTAAGTTATGATTCACATACATATTTACAGTGCAATGAAACCATTAAAGCTTTGGTTTTAATTTTTAACATATTTTTATTAATTTTTAAGGTCCGGTATTAAATTCTGTTTGATTTAATAACCTAACCTTCTCTGGTTGAATAGGGGGTAGTGATAAGCTTAGACGAGTAAGAAATGGGATGTTGATAATAGGATATTGAAAATTCCTGGCTGACTGATAAGAGGTTATTGATAAGATAATTAGCTGATAAGAGATTATTTATAAGACAAAAAAATATAGTAGAGGATTTTTTATCATTTAAATCTTATCACTTACCTATTATCTTACGGCTCTTATCTCTGATCTCTTATCACTTATATCCAATATTTAATTATTTATATCTCATTTCTAACTGAAAGTGAAAGTGTAACGAAAAAATTGTGACATGAAATTTCTTGTATCCAGCCTAATAACATATCCATGTTAAGAAATCAGCCGATCATAAGACATGTTCATTGTCTAATGCATTTCCTTCGAGGGAAAGATTGAATTTCTTTGTAATTTCAGTTAACATTTTATAGGCAGTTCTATGAAAAAAGAATCTCGTGCCACTTTTTGATTCCTGAATTGTTGATAAATTATACCAGAAAGTTGTCATATACAATTAAAAGCTTGAATAGCAGCATGTATAGCGCTTTTTTTATTTTCCGTGTATGATAAAAATATTGTATTGTATTATTATGATGATAACAAGCGTCTGTTCAACGAAAGTATAAAATATTGCAAGTGTCTTACGCTAGCATGTTGTATATTATGTTGTAAGTAGATGTATTCCGTATCGGATTTTCGTTAGTTTTATGATATATTATTTAATATTCCACCGAGTTCGGTACCAACTCTGCACGCAAACATCCATAAATAGTGTGTTTTGAACCGAGTGTCACGTTTTGCGTTGCTCAAAGGCTGTACGATTTTTTTATATATATATAATATTATCATGTGTTTCGTATGGAAAACAAATTTTATTCGGACACAATCCGTATATTATGATATTTAAGTTTGAAAACAAAAATGTATGATATATTATAATATGTATAAATCGGTTGAAAAAAATTTGAATAAAAAATAGTTTTTAAAATTTCTAAAGTTCCACTAACACAAAAAAAAAAGAACTCTGTTCTATACTTATACTCACTACAATCGTGCCGGTCGTACCGTTCGAGCTGTTTACATTACTATACTATACTCTCCCCCCCTCCCCCCACCAAATGATCTGATAAAAAAGACATTTTTTTTTTAGATCCTTTTAGATAACCACCTATAGTGGTTTTTTTGGGAACCGTCAAGCGACGTCGCTTGGAGTATTCGAAAAACACACGTTTTACTTGCTTTCCCCTCTTGGGTTTGTTGGGCTTTGATTTATCGCGCCACGTTATTACTATTATTATTCTTCTTCTTGTTATTATTATATATAGTTTATCACCCACGCATAGGACGAAAAGAAGTATGTGTGTATGTAAAAGTTTTTTTTAGCGTGACGGAAAACGGCGACAGGCATCCGGCCAGTTATCTGGAATAATAATTATTGTATATAGAGGTTGTATACTATTATCACAGTAACATATAATATAGTTTGTACACTATTACTGTTTTAATGTTGTAAAAAGTCAAAACTGTATCTAGCAGATCCTTAGTTGTAGACTGCATTAGCTAGCAACGTCTATTGTAAAAAAAAAAAACGGGTGTACACTTGATACATTTTTCCTTAGCGCAAATCAATACCTTTGAAACTAAAATATATTTAATTAAAAAACTCGATTACAATACCTTGGATTTTTCTACTAAAACGTTGGAATAAGACAATGGAATTTTTCCAGCTCATTATTTTCAGTCCCTTTCGGCTCCTACTCTTCTCTTATCACTTATATTATCATTTATTTCTTACCTCCAGTCTCAAATCATTTCACTTATCACTAATATCTTATCATTTATCTCTAATCTATTATCGTTTATCTCTTGGCATTTATCTTTTATCATTTATCTCTTATCAATTATCTCTTAGCATTTATCTTTTATCACTTATCATTTACTTCTTATTTCTTGTCTCTAGACATTTTTCTCTTATCATTTTTTGAGTTAGAGGCCGAAAAAGCTGAAAATGATGTGACCCCTCTATTAAGGTGAGCTTTTTGCACTAAATAACAGGGAACACAATTTTTTTTTTCTTAAGTCATTATTTTTTTACTTAAATGTCGAAACTTTTAATTTTTGACTTATCGAAAAAATGAAAACGGGGGGCTTATTTAGGGGTCCCCCAGATGTCGAATCACCTATTACTTACCTTCATGCTGGAACACCCTTTATATATAAAACAATAGACCATTATATCAAAATGTAATGAAAATATTTCCCTAATACCTATTGATTGACTGTTGTTTCATTCACATATAGCAACCTGAAAATTCAATACAGTCAATGCAACTTCCTCTTTTCAACGTTATTATGTTTTATAGCTAAGAAATAGTTCAAAATATGTGTTACACATTTTTCAGTAAGATCAAAATCTGTCCCATTAAAGTATTTTTTTTTATACCATTTATTTTTCGTTTTATTTTCTCGATTTCTTATCATGTATTTCATGTAACTCAAATATATATGAAATATATTTGTGCAACGCCAAATTATTGACTGGAAGAAATCCATCTTGACACCCTTCAAAGATATACTTGTGATGTCTTTGTGTGTATTCAACGCACCAACCGTGGCATTTCGATTTTTGTCCACTTAACAGTTCATTGCCCATTAGAGGTGCTCGCCTAATGAACACTTAGTGTAGAGGAAAACTTTGGCTTTATGTACTATATTGTGCAGAGTGGAAACGATTAACGTATAATAGCACCTGACTATTACCTATAATAATTATTATACCGTTATGAATTCGTTCAGGTCATTTGTAGACAACCGTTTACAAACGTGCAAACTGTCACTAACTATTATTGTTCCACCGAAACAGTCCTAAACGACAACAATACAACGCGTAAATGCTCCTTTGTCTTACAAAGCGTAAAGATTCATTTGTACTTAGTTAATGATCGGTAAAATCCGTTTAAATCTTTGAAATTTAAAATCAAAAAAATTGTGTACTTCCTCTTACGGTGTATACTTTTTTTATTGTTTCTGGAACCAAAGTTACTTTATACTTTCCAAACCTTTTCTTATATGTATACATAGCCTATTGGAAAGAAATTGTACACCTTTCAAAAATCAATAATTTCGTCCTATTTCATTCAAATGAATGTGATAAAAACCCTATAACAATCGACATAAGCTCAAAAAGTAGTCATAAAAACAATATTTTTAGGTATAGAAAAAAAAAATACTAAGAAACCATCAATAACTGGAGCCGTTTTTGTCCGGAAATTCAACTGAAAGTTCTTGTTTGTATAAATTATATGAAAAAAAAATGCCAATAGCCTGCGACCGTCCCTACCCAAACTAGGTTTTGTAAATTTCAAAAAGATTTACCTTTTGATCGTTTTAATTAAATAAATCGAAAGTCTGTTCCTTGTAAATTTTACCTGCTCGAGCGAAGATTAAGTATAATAATACTATGTCGGCGCCCAATAATTTTCATGTAGTCGAGGATTTAACAGCCTCGGCTTTTACATTATTTAATAAAATACAAAAATCGTTTAAGAAAACAATAAACCCAGTCGTGGGTTGACTTTAGAGCATAGACTTTGTCGCTGGTCTTCTTACTAAATAACGAATCGATTGAAGGCACCAAACATAATTTGCTCCACGTTCTAAAAAAATATATATGCCTTGCAGAATGCTTAGGTGTGTGTGTGTGTGTGTATCGGCATTGTTCATGATTGATAAGAAAACAATATTAAAATAAAATACCGGTGAAAAGTTTTGAGAAATTCACTTCGGTTAGAGGAAAGCTCGTGTTGCCTAGCAATCCATTAGTTTGATGAAATCAGAGATGTTACACCTACAATGGTATTTCTGTACAATATATGTGTGATTAATTCCCAGTGTTAAGTCGGCACACGAGACACATTCGTTCATTTAAACGATGTAATTTGCTTTGAGTGACAACACGCGTTCGCTGTGAACCATCTTTGTTGTCAAGACTGTTCCCCCGAAAGCGTATACCTACCTAATAGTATAAACACCCCTCTAACTGAACACTGTCATCATTGCAACGTGTGCAATAATAATATCATCAATCTTCATCGGATTCACCTGCGTTCCGTTGTCTAGACATTTTTTTTTCCACGCAATTCGAATTTAAGTAAAAACAAAACAACATTGTCGGATAACAGATGACAGTGTACTCTTGTTATATCGACGGCAATAACACGAGTTACTTCCCAGTGAAAGGAATTTGTGGCTTAGGCTATTTTTATTTACTTTCAAAAAACTATGTACTGAAAAAACACAACGACTTCTCGACAAGTCTAGAAAAACAATTAAGCGCAACCAGGTTTTGGAAAAAAAAATATGGTAATTAGTTGATGATCCCTAGTGACGGATATTATGTTATATTATAATAATATAAACC